TTAATTTTCCGAAAAAAAAATAAAAAAATTTGGAATTTTGGAATTTTTTTAAATATTAAACTTATAATATTATAATATTATAATAATAGGTGGATCCGGGTCGGATCTTTGGATTCGGCCCGGGTCCACCACCAGACTAGGCTCATTAGCCCAGTCCGGCCAGACTAAAAAAACAACAAGAAAATACAGGCTCAGCCCACTTTTCTATTTAAAAAACCAAGCTCGACCCAAACCTATTTCCTATTTTTCTAGCCCAGCCCAAAGGAGAAAAATAGAACCAAGTCAGCCTCCTCGCCCGATTCGGATCCAAACCTAGCTCTGCGTTCTCTTTGCTCCGCGGGATATCTCTCTCGACTGGCCCTCTCACCGGGTTGTCGAGAAGTGCCGACGTCAACCAGGATCCCACGCTAGGCGATGTTCGGCGGTTGGCTAGCCACAGCCGACCATTCGATCCCCTTTTGGCCGACGACGCCTTAGTGACGTCTATGGTGGGCGCCGCTCGCGCACCCAATCCGCGAGGTCCACGGCCTCCGTGGGCAGACACGATGACGGCCACATTCCAAGTAAACACCAACCACACCGACAGCCACACCCTCTCCACCTAGATCGTCGTTCCTCAGCCGACATTGATATTGCAGCCAAAAACATCCTTCTCGCGGCCGAACGCGAAATGTTGAAGGAAATGGTGGAAAGGCGACGAAACCACCAGACGGTCGACACCTGGGGATGTCAAACACAAAAACATCGCCTCAACAAAACGAATCAACACAAGGACGCTCTGTTTTAAGCCAAAATGGCAAGACCAAACTAGATCTCACTGAAGCATTATAACAAACAGGTAGTGGGCGCTTAAAAAACGAAGTATTCCTGGCTCAACGAAAACTCGAATCCGAGCCGGGACACTCGACACAATAACAGAACGTGCACAACATTCAAGCAAGGGACGGTTGGGGACCAAAGCTCGCACGAGCCGGACGGCCATAAGCTCCGGTTGATGTGCCCAGAAACTGGGGAAAAATAGAAACTGGCCACGAAAGGGGAAAGAGCGATGGTTGGCTGCAATTAGTGCCGTCGAGCCCAAAACGAGTCGGGCTATGGCCAGCTGCCTTAGTGCCGTCGATCTGTGATCCTTGGGAAATCGACCTCCAAATTAAACAAAAACGAAAACCGAGGAACCAGAACCTATCGAGGCTTGGTGCAAGGGAAAGGGCGACGTCCGCGAGTTGTCGGCTACGATACGGGCATGGTGGTTGCTAGAGGAGCTCTCTCACTCTCTGTCTCACTCAATCTCTCTCTGCCTGTCACAGTCCGAACCAACTCCCGAACCCCCCTTTGTTTTTTCTCTCTCTCTCTCTCTCTCTCACCCTTTTAAGCCGGCCCAGCTAGTCCCATTCGCGCTGCACCGTTTATTTGGGAAGGTGGCCTGCCACTGTCCGGCCGACATTCGGCCAACCTGCCCCTATCCCGTCCGTCCTCACATACTCTGCTTCTGTGCCCTCTCTATCGTATGCTTGTGTGAGGGTAAGAAGGAAAAAAATACATGGCTAGGTTGGGCTGTGGGGAAAGGAGAGGTGGGTCGGGATGGCCCGGCTTTGCTTTTTTTTTTTTTATAAATATTTTTTAAAAATAATAAAAAAGAAAAATATGTTCTAATAAATCCTATTAATGCAAATGAACCTATTGTCTATATGCCATGCAATTTCAATGAAAATATATTTGTTTAGGGGTTTAACATTTAATCCCGAATTTTCTATGTAATAATTTACTAAATCGGTAATCAAAATTTAGGTGTCAACAAGTGGCCCCTTTTAATATGAATGGTATTTTGTGAATTTGTTGAGGAATGCATATCGTGATCAACATGATTTCTGGGCAACTTTCATGGTTCGGTATGAAAAAAGAAACCTAGATGAAGATAAAGGTGGGCGTTGCGGTGTATCCAACACGGTTAGATGGCTATTGTGATGATGCGATTCCATGGTTTGGAGAATGGGACATTGGTACAGTATCACCAATTGACAGTGCGATTTCAGACTATTATGAGGATGATAATTTTCTAAGGAATTCAAATCATGGTCATCTCATCAATACAACTAGAATCTATTACTCAAGGATTTATTGTTTCGAGAAGAAAAAAAAATACCTGTCACATAAGCTAAAGGACTTTGGGAAATATCATTACTTGGTGGGATTAGAGCTAAGAGATATGACACTTGCTACTGATTGGAGGGAAAGTTATGTGGAGAATTAAAAGTCCTATGCTCCCATGTTGCTGCAAAAGGCTTGTTCTCTATTTGAGCCATATTAGATGAGACTCATCATGTCTGTTGATCTCGTCGTGGTTGACTTGGAAAATCATGCCTTTATTGTAGGTTTATCCGATTGAGAAGATTGGCTGTTCCTAAGTTTTTGCTGACACCAAGGCTCGGTGTGACCATCTCTTCCACAAAAATTGCAATGCAAGGATTACCTACGGCCTTTGAATTTGGGTTGATGATTCAAATACGATTTGCCCATCTGACCATGTGGGCTGCCATAAATGATTGATCATGATGGTGACTGGGCTTAGCCAAGAGCACGGATTTTTGTCTTTCCTCTTGCAATGAAAGAGAAAAAGGTTTTGTTGGTACCTGAATTTTCCTGATGATTAAAGTTATAAAATTCGAGATTCGAGATCCTCGATCGTGGCGAAACTTATTTCTTAAAAAAATATCATTAGTTTTTGATCTTTTTTTCTAGATATTTGATTTAGGAACATTTTAGTATTAGAACCTCGGGCCCAACGGCTAAATTTTTGTCAATGACAATCCCGAAGAGCCTCGACCATCCCAATCCATAATTGGACTCGAAACTTCTCCCCGACAATTTTAACTTGTCTTTCCGTGATTGATTGAAGGCCCAAACAATCTTAGATGATTGCAAACCAGGTGTCATAACAAGCGTCTTTGAGTGTATTTTCCAATGATATATGACTTGTGCACTAGCTCCAAGCATACCTTCCCGGGTTTGCCTTTTTCTGAGCAAGTGTAGACTCACGCCCTAGACAAAAACCAGTAATTGACCTATTTGGTTCAGCATTTGAATGCTACTTTGGGGCTCTAAAATCCCTTAAGCAAATGCAAAGTTGTTTGGCAAGCTTTGAGGATATGCAATTGTATCTCCAAAGCTTGGAAAGGGCCTTTGGCTGAATGGAGTCCACGAGGAGCCTTGGGAAGTTGTATTTTTGGAATGCAATCAGGCATAGTTCATCATCTTCCCAAGCAGCTGGTCTGACGACCGGTGACCGCCACCTAAGGGCTAGCGCACCAGCGACTGCCACCTGGGGGTCACGCGACCCTGGCGACCGCTGCGTGAGGTCGCCGGACCTCAGGCGCCACCTGGGTCGCGCAACCCCAGGCGGCAGTCGCCCGTGTCGCGCAACACCCAGGCGATCGCCGCTTGAGGTCACGCGACCTCAGGCGGCGGTCGTCAAGGTCGCGCGACCCCCAAGCGACCGCCGCTTGAGGTCGCGCGACATCAGGCCGCCTTGCCTGAGGTCAGGCGAGGCTGGTCGGCGACCAGATCTGGCCGTCGGGTGGTTGGCCAGCTTTTTTTTTTTTTTTAAATATCAGCAAAAGTCTTTTACAAATAATTTTTACCAAATGGTATTTAGGCCAACATTGCTTTCAAATGTGATTTTAAAATACACAGTTACAAAATACTACTTGCATTTCGGAAAACCCTTTTAGCTCAAAAGCCTTTGCATTTTACCAAAGGCATTTCCCCAAAACCGAACCAAACAGGCTGGGCCTCCAAAAGTGGACTTCCCGATATCTAGTTAGGCTGAAATTTTAACAAGCTACCCCTATTTATTGACTCATTTCCCACAAAATTTCAGCCCAATCGAACGAACAACGAGTGCGTGCTCACCGTTTCCACGCAACTGCACAGTCAGCCCAAAATGCTTGGTAAAGACCTCATAACTGCAGCACCTTCAAAATTGTAGCAACTTGTGGTGATTTTCAAAAGGCTACCATGCCAAACACACAAGTTGTTGAGAATATATCTTTAGTTTGAGCAAGTTTTCCAAAAAGAAATGCCTCATATTTTGGATAGGAATAATACACACACTACTATGATATTAGATAAAGTAGAGCAAGCAAGAGGAAGCTGTGTGATTCTTCCAATTGATTAGTAAATTATTTGCTATTGGGTTTCCTTGTGAAGTAGGTACCGGCACTCAAATTGAACCATGTAAATCTCATGTATTCTTTATTGTTTTTCTTTTATATATCTGGTGATTTCGTTTTGATTTAATTGCATGCTCCGGTTAGCTTACGCGTTCTAATACAACACAAGTTATATCACTTCATAGTATGAACATAACTATAGTTCAACCATAGATTCCTCAATCATAGTTATACCAAACAGGCTTTAAGATTGAAAATAGTATTAAACTAATGCAACATAAGCTAAGCTATTTCTTGTGATTGACGAATTATTACATATCTACATTTTTTAACTAAAAAATATAATTTTTTCATCCTGATATATGGGATATTCTTGCCCCCGATCTAGAATCAGGTGCAATCACAACAATTAAACTTTGTGGGATTCACGTGACATTCACAGGATCAATGACTAAGATTGACCTGTTTCATCTTGGATTGGGAGGAAGTCAAGTACCTGCCCTTATAAGGTGACCAATATAACAACACTATCACATTTTGAAGTGAAATTTCATAGATTCAAAATGAAGATACAACATTCTACGTGTCATCATAACTGGTACATCATGACGGCCGACACTTTCAATGAGAAAACTAGGCACTATTACCTTACATACCATGTCAAATATGGCAAAATATGAGGAGACACCAAACTTAGTAAATTTTATCTAGACAAATAGGATGTGAAGTTGGGAGATAAACTTTAAAAAAAAAGGACATTCGTGATATGTTTATATGTAACCTTTGATAGACGCAACTGTCCAACTGCGTTTTTTTGTGTAATGCAACTAATTAAATTAAGATAGGAGTGGTGGAGATGTGAAGCCACCATAGATCAACCCTTTGGCGATGTGATGAGAAGCAGACTCGGTGAAGTGAATCCCATCCCAATCGGCAAAAGCCGATGGAAGTTTGCAAAGAGTTGAGCCGGTCTGACCACATAGTCTTGACATATTGAAGTTGTATGGACCACCTCCTCCACAACAAGCCCTTAGTGCCCCTCCATAGAAGCCTGCGTGAATGCACACGTACGTTTATGGCATGAACAGGTTAATCTCCTGGTCGTCAATAACGATGAAGTACAGCTTCATTTATTTCATGTCCAGACATTTTAGACAAATTATGTTACTACATGTGTGGTCATGTCAATGACATGAACCAAAATGTCCTAATGTTCTCTATGTGATTTGCTATATACAAAGAAATACTACGGCTATTCTTTCCAGAAAGGGCACGGGAGTTTCAAATCGATGTATTTTTTCTTTCAGTTTTTGGGTTTTAGTTTTTTTTTTTTTTAGCACCGGGTTTTAGTTTAGAAGCCAAAAGACAGGGTACTTGTTAAAGAGCTCCCATGGCATTACATGTAACCGATAAGGAATGTTTTCAATAATACGAAAAAAGTAAGGCTTTTTTTTGGATTGAAAATATATATGATAAAGAAAATTACAATATATTTTTTTCATTTGGTTTCCTATTTACTGTCTTGAACACTCATTAACAACTTTAGCATAGAAATGAAGCCGGAAATCAAGTACGTAGGTAAGCTGTCACCCCCTTGTTAACATCAGTACGATAATAAGCTCCACTATTAAAAATTAAAATGTGAAACTACGTTTGGTTGCTTCCACAATTAAGGGGTTCAGTTGATATTAATCACTCCCTGCCGTGCAAATCAGCTACAATGGAACTCTGGCACTTTACTAACCTACATTGCCAAATGCCCATATTTGAAGAGATGTACGACATAGATCTAAATGAGAAAGATTAATTAAGGATATGGAATTTCTCAAGGTGACAAATTGAATGGAGCAATAAACTTAGAGTAATTATGGCACGAATGTATCAATTCGAGATGTTTTGTAACATAAAAATTAGTTTGGGATAAATATGGCATGCTTGTACTAGTTTGGAGTGTTTGTGACCCAAAACACAAAAATTAGTTGGCAGTAGGCACGTGTATACTAATTGGGGATTTTTTGTGGTGTTTCTCTCTTTTTTTTTTTTACAGAATCATCTTTATAATTATGAATCTCGATTGTTATTTGAAGATAAATCTATAATTACTATATGAATGGTGATGGATTGTAGAAAATAAAGTCATACATACACGATTCATTACAAGATTATTAGATTTAAGTAAAAAAAAATATGCGTTGACAATGACACATGAGAGGAAAAAAGATAGTTATAAAGAAGGCTCACCATAGAGTTTTGGAGTGCGATAGATAGACATGGAGGCACCATAATAATCAGCGTACGCAATCCTTGCATGAGGGTATTGTTCTCTCAAATTTTGCAATTCTTGCTTGAGGTACTTATTGTGATACTTGAATAAAGTATTATAAGCCCTGAGACACCCCGTTCTTGGGTCATATGCCGATATATTAGCGCTTTGAAACAAAGTTAGATAGGCGGAGATGCAGCCTGTCGGGAACTGTCCTGGCACCACCAGATCCACAGCCCCTTCTTCTATCAGCATCTGTTATGGTCATGATGATTCAAGGACAAAAAGAAAAATAAAAAGGAAACTTGATAATAGTGAGAAATGAAAAAAAAAAAAAAGAAGCAATCTCGAGACAAATCATATGGATCATTTTGTAAGTATACGTAAATCACTTTGGGATCTGCTTCATATACCACATGATCATACTTCTCTAATAGTCACCATGACCGTAGGTCAATGTTTATTAGTCACCATTTTGGCTATGTCAATGTTTCTTTGTGACATCTTAACTTCCTCTTGATCATTACTTTTAGGGGTTACATTTTGTACGGCTATTGAAAGAAGAAGTTTTTCCAAATAGAGAAGTGATAAAGGCATTTCTTTTTTATTTCTTATTCAACGTGCTCACAAAGTGACTCTTGATTTAATTGCGAGAATTGAATGCTAAGCACATGACTAAAAAAAGCGTTTAACCAATATGTGCTCGTAGATGAAACGTAATGATTCAAAGCAATCCTTAGTTTTATTACGTGAATTTAATGTTAAGCTCGTGCCAATGAAAACATTCTCGTTATATCTTTATGTCATAATGCGTGCCTGATATGGTGATGGCAAAAGAAGCCCAAATTAGTGTCATTTCTCCATTAATAAACATAATTCAGATTGCTTTCATATGGAATACATGTGAAAAATCGAAGTTTGTGTGACATACACTGACGGCTCGAGTGATGGCTCCAACAATTTGTGGTACCAAAGGGCGTAGCTGTTCAATGGTTCGACCAAAGAGAAAGGGAAAGTTGTAGTCATTTTCACCTATCTCCCCCACCAGAAACAGAGACTTCTTAAAATACTCATCACATTCTGCACCCAAAAAAATGAAAACTTATAGCACAGCTCAAGGAGGCAAGATAAAGGAATTTTTATGTGTGATTTGATCAATTATGGCACATGTTTCCATCAAAGTTACACTAAGCATCAAGCAGCAGAAGGGGGTGACAGCCATAGCTAGCCCCTCATTTGGTCCGTCATTGAACTACATTTAGGAAAATTACCAAAAAATTCTAAATCTATTACATTTATACTAATTTAGTGTTAAAATTTTTAATTTGGGCCAATTTAGCCTAAACCTTTTGATGATTTGCGAATGCAGTCTTTCTAACCAATTTTGGCTGGAAAATTGCTGATGTAAACGCCGGTCGTCTTATAAGTTGAGCAAAAGAACCGGAATAAACTGGCTAGTTCTAAGCAGTCCCGCAAGAACAAGTTTGGCTCTCGGCTCCTAAATTTGGAACCGGTGAATATCGGTCCAGTCCCCGATTCTAGGTGTGGACCCACCCACCTGGACCACCCAAACTGGACCAATTTTTTTTTTTTCAAATTTTCAAAACCCCGATTCCCATTCTTTTATCACTGAGACTCAATCACACACGCTCATCTCTCACGTCTCTAAGTTGTAAGCATCAAAGCCCAGCAAAGCCAACTCTCACTCTCACTTCTCTCAGTCTCAATCATGCAGCGCTTATGCTCCCCTCGCAACTGACACCTCTCAAACTTGGTTCTTGATGATCATTATAGCTTTGTTTGTGGAGATGATCATCAAGTTTAGCTTATTATGAGCTTGTTCAATTAACATCACTCATGCAATAGTTTAGACTATGTAACAACACTTGTAGTATTGCAGTGAATAGGAAAAAAAAAAAAGAGGAGGCACGGTCGGTTCCAAGATCAGGTGGGTTGGTTCTCGGTTCCACAAACTGAGAATCAACCCTTCTGGTTCGGTTCTAGGGTGGGAACCAACCCACCTAGAACCGATCACCCCTATCGTTTTACGTGGCACAATCGACGCTCACGCGGATCATTTTTATAATTTTTTAAATACTTTATGAATTTTTTCTTTTTTTTCCATTTTCTTTTTTTTTTTCTTTTTTTTAAATTTCCCTTCGCTGGTCCATGGCCTCGACAAAGGTTGTCGGTCACAAGTGAAAGTTTGGATGCCCTCGCCGGCCATCGTTAGATCTAGAAGAGGGGTCATGAGCCCAGGCCCAGTAGTCGGTGAGGGCCTGGGCGAGGGGCCGTGAGCCTCACTCAGTGGTTTGCGAGGGTTGCGACACCCTTACCTATGATAGTTGTAGGCCTCATTTAAAAAATCAAACAAAAGAAACAATGAAGAAAGAAAAAAAAACTCGAAAATAATATTAAAAAGTTGTAAAAAATTATCCTCTTCAGCATCAACTGTGCCAAGTAGGACGGCTGGTGTCCATGTCAGTGATTCTTGGCCAAAATTGGCCAAATAGATTACATTGAGAAATTGTCAAAAAGTTTAGGACAAATTAGCTAAATTGAAAGGTTTATGATTGAATCGGTACAAGTACAATAGATTTAAGATTTTTTTTGTGATTATCCCATTTACATCTCTATATATGTAAAATATTAAATCTATAGATAGGTTTATTCATAGACAAAGAGTGTACACATTTCACTTTTCACGGTTATTTCCCTAATATGTGTCAAAAGATACATATTGCATGCATCAGTTTATTTTGTTTGGGGTAAATGAATCATTAATCTCTGAAACTTTTCACTATGAAAGGGAGAAATTTACCTTGTTTGGTAGTGCAGAGAGACGACTTCAAATTTTTGAACCAGCCAAGCTGAACATTCAGCGAGTCATTGGTCGACAACACAATCTGCTGTGCAGAGAAGAAAGACGAGTCGATCGCTGTGGCACCAGCAACTGCGAAGTTCACTCCCGTACGAACAGGTGAACCTTTGGCTACTGCCAGATATGGTAAAAGATATGGCAGTCCAAATGCTTCAGCTGCACTTTCATAATTTATGTTCATCATGGGATTAAAAATACTTCATTAGGAGCATAAAAGTTGGAGGGTATTCGTTCATCGCATTTTAATAGGAGTTACATTGGATACACAAAGCTGTCTGAAAAAGCCAGATGAAACTATTTTCGTATGAGATAGCATTGTAGTAATGTGCTGTCGAGTTATAAGTGAAATCGTATTTTTTCTGAAACCTTAATTTATTAAGAAGTGGATCAAAATGCATTTATAGTATATCACTTAACATGAGTGATCGAAAACTGTAAAGAACAAATTACAACGGAATACATCAAACTGCATTTATAGTATATCACTTAACATGAGTGATCGAAAACTGTAAAGAACAAATTACAACGGAATACCTATGAAATCGATAATGAGGCGTCCGTCCGAGCATCGACCAGTTGCATGGTGGAAGAAAGTCTCCCCATAAGGGAGATTTTTTATGACTGGAAATGCAAGTGCCCCGGAAAGGAGGAAGTTTCCGGTGTCGCTATGAGAGTCGCCGAAGTTAAAGATTGCATTGTAGTGACCGGGGCTCGACAAAACGGACTTTGAAGAGAGGCAGCAGAACAAGAAGAAGACTAGTATGTTCATTGCTTTCATGTCGCGCAACACTAGAGAATTCGATGAAGGAAGAGTCTGCTTAGGGTTTAGCTTGAGCCCTTACGTTATCTCATAGAGCAATCTCACCTTCCCAATACAGTTTCAACGAGAAATGGCACCCTTTTATTAAATGGCGGGGTCAGATATTCAGGATCTTGTATTACGTAGATGACGTGCGGAATTTTTCACATTCTCATCTATTCTATATATGTTCATAGTCGTGTTATGAATTATCCTATTACATTCTTCATGATCATAACATTCTACAGCTGGCGTGGTTATCAACTGAAATGAACGAGAACGACATAGCGAAACGACCTTCAAGTGCCTATCTTACTCTCTTAATTTTGGTTTAGAAGTTTCATTTGTGTTTTGCCGCTTGTGCAACTTTGGCCATGGTATAGTCTTTAACACAAACAACGTTGAAACAATGCATTTCGTTGTAATTGTATCACTTTCTCGTCTTTTTTTCTAGATAATCAAGGACATAAATTTTTTACTCAATTAAACGTTAAGAATGCACGCCTAGTGTCTTGCTCGTGTGGATCGGCGACACTGCAGTCGAAGGGTGACCGACATTACCACCACAGGCTTATGAATTGAAGAATAATGAGTTGTACATGTAGACTGGAATTGAATGGTTTGAGTCCAATCAGGTCCTTGAACTATACATATCTCATTGTTCAAGTTGATCCTGATGTAAAAAATTCCTATGGAAATACTGATTTAGCCATGGAAAGCCAGTTTGGCTCTTACATAGCAGCTCATGGCGCCAAAATCGCCATTAAAAACTTTAAAAAGCACGGAGAAAAAATTTGAACAAAAAACGAAACTCCTTCAAGGTGAGACGCGCGGGTTACAGAGGGTGGCGGTGACACCTCCCGACCTTCGGCGAGGGTGGCTGAACTCTTATGATATTGGGTGGTGTTTCTAGACATGTTTTGTTGTATCGCCATGGCTCTGATGCCACAGAAGTGTTAAAGAAAAGTAAACTGGAATAACTTTTCACTATTCACATACATACTGTCATGGTAACTTTATACATTTTATTCACTTTACACAATGAAGGAAGTGGCAGACAATCTCAATGGATATACCAAAGAAAGAAAGAATATGTTGAAGATTATTTCCTTTTCTTGCAAGGAAGGTATAGGTGGCAAGACTTTTCTTTCTATTTGCGTGCTTCATGATCATCCAGTGATGTTATGACCAAAAAAGAAATCATCCAGTGATGTAATGTCCTGGATTTTCGCCTAATCTTTCTCTTCTTGCTTTATAAACTGGATAAGCCCGCAATAATCTTGTTCTATTTTGATAGTAATTAAGAAAAAGCGACCATTATACTATTTCGCTTCCCAAAAAACGGATTCTTTTCTGTGCTGATATATGTCTGAAAGAGTTGGTAAGTGTCAAAAGACTAATGCTAAAAAAGATATTCCGATCACTTGACTTTTTATTAACTTTTTTGAACTTACCAGCACTTTTAGGAAATAATCTAACTCTCTTTTTACTGTTTCCAAATGATTAACCTTTTTTTCTTTTTATCTTTTACCAGCTCTTATTTACCTTTCTTGCCAACGCAACTCTTATATGAATTTACCGATCATCATATGAGTGACTTATCTACATATTTTCGATTATATTACTAACTAGTTTTTGGTTATTGACTTTTCATTTGAAGTACTTACCAACATTTATTCAATCTTTTTTTTTTAATTTAATAACTTTTGGTTACCAAATTTTTTTTATAGTTTTTACAAACATCTTAAATATATGAACTCTTATATGAATTTATCAACCTTTATTTGTGTGATTTATCAGTGTTTTCTCTCTTTTACCTACCAATTTTATTTTACCAACTCTCAATTTAGTTGCTTACCCACTTACATGCTTTCTTTTTTACTTTATCAATTTTTCTATTGAGGTACAAAATTTTAGTAATTACTAATTTTTATTTTATTACTTACCAACTTGTGAAATTTAGCAACTATTTTTTAGAAATTAACAACTTTAATTAGAGTGCTTATTAACTATTCTCTGATTATGTTACAAACTAGTTTGTTACTAGCTCTTATTTGAGTTAGTTACCGACTTTTATTTGGCTCATTAAATTATCAACTTCTTTTATATTTACCAAACTTTTAATTTACCTATTTTACGAAAAGCTCAAATTTATCAACTTTTTTTATGAAATTTTCAACATTTATTTCTTATCGATTTATATTTCAATTAAGCTACCAACTAGGTTTGTTTACAAACTCTTGTTTGAGTTGCTTATAAACTTGTATTTGTTTCTTATATTTCTTTGAAGTTTACTGACTTTTCTATCACTTTTATTTGTGTTGTTTACCAACTTTTTGTACACTAACTCCTTTTAGATATTATAGTGATCAATTAGAGTGATTATCAATTTTAGATATTATTTGTGTTGTTCACCAACTTTATGTATATAACTCTTTTACTGTTTATCAACTTTTATTTACCTTTCTTACTAATGTTTAATTTCACCAAATTTTATATGAAATTACGAAGCTTTATTTGTGTGACTAACAACTTTTTTTCCGATTAAGTTATCAACTACTTTTGCGTTACCCACTCTCTTTTAAGTTGCTTACCAATATTCATTTGTTTCTCCTAAGATTTAACTTTCTATTTAGGGATAACTATTGTTTGCCGTATTTACAACTTTTGAAATTTATTACTCATTTTAGAAATTACACAACCACGGTTAGAGTAATTGATAAAAAATTTTTATTAGGTTACCAACCAATTTTGTATTACCAACTCTTATTTGAGTTAGTTATCATGTTTACTTTTTTTTAAACTTACCAACTTCTATTATCTTTTGTTAACTTTAATTTACCTTTCTAAATTACCAACCTTTTTTGTGTGATTTACCAATTTTTTAGTTAAACATTGAAGAAAATGTTTCTTTCCTGGATTGTTTAAATTGGTGAGGCCTTCAAGTAAGTCATAAAAATATTGCGATTCCTTAAAATACTTTCATTCAAATCTTTGACTTTATTAACTTAAGAAGGAAAATCACCATGACGTCATTGAGTGTAAATGTTTTATATTAAGATCGTTGAATGCGTCAAGTTTATTGAACAATTTGGTTGACTATCCTCTTCATTATAATCATAACCAAGAGGATTAGGATACGACAGCTTGAACAAGCGTTATAAGCATTTAACAACTCTATATTTGTACCAGCGGATGATATGCATTGGCAAGGGACTGTTTACAATATGTGCTACATCTATCATAGTATTTAGAATAGTTCTGTCTATTCAGTAATGGCGATAACAAATAGCGAACATCATCAATACTACTATAACATGGTCAACCAATTCATGAAAATTGTGATACCTATGGAAAGGTTTGTTTGTTTCACTAAAAACTTCTTTGTAGCTGGAAAATGACATGTAATGATTGACAAACCGAAATCAACCGCTTCTTTGTTTGTTCTGTAATCCATCAATCACAATAACAAGAATTATAGAGAACTTAGGAAAGAAATTTGTAAAAATCATAGTTGCAAAATATCATATATGATCATGTTTTTTTAGGAATGTAGAAGAACGCAAGAATTAATGAAGTAAATTCAAGAGATGTTAGACAAAATTTATGAAAATAACAAATGAGACTTTCAATGATAAGCAAAAAAGAAATATATGATGTGAGATAGGAAAAAGACATAATGACATATTCTACACACTTGTACGCGCAGCAAGAATTTAGACAAAATGATTTCCTTCTTGCTAGAAAGAGAAGTCATTTTCCCTAGTCTAAGTTTGTTGTTTTTATTTATGAAAAATGCTTTCCATTATCCAAATGCTGGAAATTCTCAAAACAATGTCCGAGAAATAGTTTTCCATCAAACAAATTAACCCTAAGCAATATAAAACCAAATGTCCGACTCTATTAAATTAAGAAGGATAATCACCATGATGTCATTGAGCGTAAATGTTTTATATTATGATAATTGAAAGCGTCAAGTTTATTAAACAATTTGGCTGACTATCCTCTACATTCTAAATATAACCAAGAGGATTAGGATGCGATTGCTTCTACAAGCCGCACAAGCATCCAACGAATCTTTACGCGCACCAAGGCATCATATGCATTGACTTGGGATTATTTTACAATATATGTTACCACTATCATAGTGTTTAGAATAATTTTGTTTATTTAGAAATGGTGAGAACAAATAGCGAACATCATCAATACTGGTCGACCGATTAAAAAACCAATGATAATGTAAATTGTGATCCAGCTTGAAGGGTCTTTTGCACGGAAACTTTCTTGTTGCTGGAAAGCTTTTTTAGGAAATTCGATTTTAGAGAATGTAAACCATTTTTTCATGTTTGTTCATGCTAAAACTGAGTTGAAAAAAATTAGTTTATGGAATTTAATAATAAGTGAAACTATTAAAGGCGTATATTTAAAAAAGGCATGTATTGAATAACAAATTGAAATCAACATTTTCTTCGTTTATTATATGATTTATCACAATTACAAGCATTATAAAGAAATTCAAAAAGAAATTATAAAACCATAGTTGGGAAATATCATTTATAATCGTATACTTTAAGGATATAGAAGAACACAAGCATAAAATGAAGTAGATTCAGGATATGGAAGGCAAGATTTATGAAAAAAAGAAGAAGATGAAACTTCTATAAGAAAAAAAGAAATAAATTATGAGAGAGGAAAATAGACATAAAGGACATGTTCTACTCGTTTGTACGTGCAGCAAGAGGCTAGGGAAAATGATATCCTTCCAGTTAAGAGAGAAAGTCAATTTCCCTAATCTAAACTTGTTATTTTTAGTCAATGGAAAACGGTTTCTGTTAATCAAGTAGCTTTCCGTCATCCAAATTGTTGAGGTGCACATGTAAGTTGTGTTAGAATAGTCTTACACCAAAGAATTGATATAGTATGATGTAGTTAATATATTTTAGTTAGCCTATAACCCCATGGCTTAAGTTTTTAAATGAAGGTGGGTTCAATTA